AACAAAAAAGAGGTTAGAGTGGGAGAGAGCCAAAGCATAAGAGACTCTTAAAAACTGAGAACAAACTGAGGGTTGATAGGGGGTGGGAGGGAGGGCAGGGTGGGTGATGGGTATTGAGGAGGGCACCTTTTGGGATGAGCACTGGGTGTCGTATGGAAACCAATTTGACAATAAATTTCATATATTGAGAAAAAGAAAAAAAAATTTCAAAAGGACATAATTGGAAAAAATAAAAATAAAAAAAATAAAGAGCATATCCTAGAGCACCCTTTTAAAACAGTATATTTTGAGCCTATAAAAATGCAAAAAAGCAAGACAAGTTCCTCAATTATACTTACTTCAGTGCTGAGGGCTAACAGGTAATCAGAATTCTGAGGGCTATACATCATCTGAGTCAGAGGGTGAAAAGGGAGATTGGTCTGAACAAAGTTCTTTGCAAAATCTGATGATCGAAAGATTCTTCCTCCATGACTTCCTCCAGACACCTCTGCTGTTAAAATCACCTGATCAGCAAGAAAAAAGTTCAGATACAGAATATAATACTATGAAAGCACAGGAAGTTCTTACACCATTTCCACCAGGTGTTAAGAAAATTTTCAAAAGTAAGAAGAGTCATAAAAACAGTAATATTAGTTTGTGCACTGCACTCCTCAACTATTAGTCTTGTAACAAATGTTATCCTACACTGAGCTAGCGTGTCACAACTATGAACGTAGCCTGCTCAGTTTGGGATTAGCTAGTTGCCCAAAGACTAAAATGTTGTCTCATGGATTATACATTGGGATGCCAACAACCACTACATAATTACAAAGAGTTTGGCTGGATCTTGGAATAGGGACCAAAAAAAAAAAAAAGTCCTGTGTGCGAATTCCGTTCTTTTATGAACAGCACTAAATTATGTTTAATTTTAAAAATACACTAACAGCAAACTAAACATACTGCTGTGTACAACCGGATCATTCCACGATTATCTGACAGCCTGCGTGTGGTACCAAGCACAACTTTGTATGTATCTGAATGAGTCTCACCTTTCCAGAATTCTCAGGACCAATAGCCATGCCAAACTCAGTCCGAATGAAGGTGTTATTGATGAGATTTGTAATATCCTTAAAGTTCTTTCCATAGTCCTCACTGAGAGGAAGAAAAACAAGACACATTTAGAATGCGATGGTCAATGAGGACACTGCTGGGCTCCTGCCTGCCTTCTGTTCCCCCTTCCCACTGGCTTGGCTGAGGCGCTCATCCTCCCCTGAACAGCCTCAAGGGGGCTGATTCCATCTCTAGCTCTGGTGGTGGGCCTGATTAGTCTGAAGGAAATCGCATTCCCTTACCAGTGATGGGATCAGAAATGGGGAGTGTCCCAGGATGAGCCAATAAGACCAAAGAGGGGAATTTGGAGTCTTTTAGGAAACACATTTCTTTACACTTAAGATAGCCACCTGACAAAACGATGTCTCCTTTTAGATCAGTGGTTCTCAATCAGTGTATTTTTGCCCCCCACCCCCATCCCTAGCTGCAAACGTTTGGTAACATCTTGAGACATTTATGATTATCAACAACTCAGGGGTGAGATGCTACTGGCATCTAGTAGGTAGAGGCCAAGGATTCTGCTGAACATCCTACAATGCACAGGACAGCTTCACAATGAGAAAAAATTATCTGGTCCCAAATGTCAGTAATGCAAAATTTGAGAAACCCAACACTGTAATATGTGAACACAGAGCAAAAAATTTCTACAGGCATTCTGACACAACGAGAGTGTAGCTTGAAAAATAAGCCAACATACATGGAGAGAACTGCTGAGGGGATTCAGGAATTCCAGAGTCTGTGACATTGGACTGAATAACTTCTGTATTAGTTATGCGCCATTAATTCCCTTATTATTTAAGCTGGTTTGGGTTGAGATGTCTGTCAAATGTAGCCAAAGGCCTCCTAACTAATCTGTTAATGCACAGTACACATGATAAAGCTGTAAACTCAGCAGCAGGAGTTTAAGCAACTCTTAAAGTCCTCCACTTCCAGAGGCTGCCGTCCCAGGTACCGGCCTCTAGTGCACGCAGCACACAAAACACAGCTAGGGAAAACAAACGCACTTAATCTCATCTCTTGGGTTGTCAAAGCTTTCCCCCAAGGTTCATTCCAACAATGTCTTTGAGAGGTATTCAATTTCGTGTTTCAATTTTGAAAATTAAAAGCAAAAAAATTAGTAGCTCTCTACCTCTGACGGGTTTAATACTGTGTGCAGTTCTGATAAAACATGACATAGAATGTGAAATCTGCACATTCACTGAATCTAAATGTTCATCAGTGAAGACCACCATGTTTTGCAAGTCAACTGCCCGGTGATAAGTGCAACGTGCAGTGGTCTTCACCAACAGAATAGATGACTTAACAGATGGCACAATTTTGGTAGCAGCCTCAACAAATAATTACAGAACCACAGAACATGAGAGATACAAGGGACTGGGGACATTTTGTCCGACTACCCTCACAGATAAGGAGGTTCAATGGGAGGCAACTGTCAAAAGTCTATGAGTTAACTAGGGGCAATTCTAGTTAACTGAGAATTCTTTACAATTCTTGTAAAACTACAAGCAATTCTCTCAACTCTCAGCCCCATACTAGACCAACTTTTAATTACTTGTGAGTTTTTCTCTTACAACTTGCAGTCTTCCGCTACCTTGCCAGGGCTTGTGGCCTGGCAGTAAAGATGGGCTCAGAGGAAGTTGAGAGCAGACAGGAAGGCAGTATTTGTGAGTGTTTGCATAGGTATGCAAAGCAAATTACATGTGACTTTAGGTTGTCTGAATAACTCTTCCCATTTCTTAACACACACACACAGAAGATTCCTAAACAAACTGGGGATTAGGCAGTGCCCAACCAATTCCTTTATTACCCTTTCCTTGGCTTTGGAGTACAGAAAGTATTCTTATCTTCCAGACAGCAGGTCAAGGGATATGCACGAACAATTCATAGCTCTACAATGTACATATCATCAATCGCTCAGACAACCATCTAAAGGAGTTTGTAGTTGCTTGCTTATCACCAGCTTACAAATCTCCCCTCCTTCATGACATCCCCAGGGAACCTCCACAAACCTGTTGGCAAGTCTGCTTGCTTTTTAAGAACTTGGCACAACAAAACATATCCCTGCCCTTCAGAAAGAGAAAGCAACAATGCACAAAACAAAAAATCATCTGTGACACGACCTTAGCCACTTAAAACACAACTGGAGTACAATGGACTAGTATCAACCTGCTAGGATTTAGGTAGGGTTCTGCTAAGACCACATAAGGCCAAGGAATACATTTTAATATAACACTTTATTTTATTATTTTATTTTTTTTCTTGAGAGACAGTGTGCATGTAAGTGGGGAGGGGCAGAGAGAGAGGGAGAGGGAGAATCCCAAGCAGGCTCCATGCCCAGAGTGGATCCCGAGGCGGAGCTCGATATCACAACGGACCACGAGATCACGGCCTGAGCCAAAATCAAGAGTTGGACGCTTTAACCAACTGAGCCACCCAGGTGCCCCAAAACTTTATTTTAAAGTAATTTTATTTTCTATCAGCACATTTATCCACACACAACATGTATCATGAAAAGGAAAACAACGAAACATTTTGAAAAATAAATCCATTTTCAAATTCCATAGGATAATGAATAGCATTATAAATTTTTTTTTCAACGTTTATTTATTTTTGGGACAGAGAGAGACAGAGCATGAACGGGCGAGGGGCAGAGAGAGAGGGAGACACAGAATCGGAAACAGGCTCCAGGCTCTGAGCCATCAGCCCAGAGCCTGACGCGGGGCTCGAACTCACGGACCGCGAGATCGTGACCTGGCTGAAGTCGGACGCTTAACCGACTGCGCCACCCAGGCGCCCCAATGAATAGCATTATAAACAGCAGTCAAATGATAAGTTAACAAAACCCTGTGAAATCACCTGCTTTAGGAACAAGTCTTTTGAACAAAAAATAACCAATTTCTTGTTGCCAAAAAGAAATGATCACTTATGCATGTATCTGTGCTGTAAACATATGCTTAACAATATGCACGTGTTTACAGCTCAAGAAACTGTTAAAATAAAAATATTATTGGAATATAATCTAATAACCCCAAAGAACAAGAAAACTCTAGACATTAAAATAAATGAAAAAAAAAAAGTAATCCTCACATGGAACTTCTAGTAAAAGCATGCAAATTCCTAGCAAGATGAAGGACTCAAAAGAGGGTTTTTCCAGAAGACTCATATATTGACACTCAACCCCAATGTCAACAGCCAAAAATTACATCCTTGTTTTTGAACACTTTTCATTTACAATACATTGGAACTTGTAATACCAGGCATTTGAACTGCAGACATTTAATGAAATGGAACAGTATAAGAGTTCTACAATATCTCAGATAATCTTACATTTTAATTTTCTCAACAATCAAACAAGCATAGATATCCTTGTCTGCTTGGCTTTCAGGCCTAACCATTTTTCTGTTTCTTTAGTTCATTTCTGCCATGATTAAGTTGCTATAAATTGCAACATAAAAGCAACAAAGATGACAATAAACTTAAAAAAAAAATAACTACACTTTTGTCGTTTTCACTAATCAGGAAAGCTTACACACTAGATCCTGATTGCTCACGGACTCCGTATGTGCAAATGTGACTACTCACTCAAATGTATTTGTAACCCTAAAATCAATACTCATGGCACTCTGGCAGTCATTTGCAGGCATGCACAGAGTGACAAACATCTGAGTAAACCAGCGTGCCCATTCCCAGCTGAGGTCCAATGGGGAGCTGCTCTGCCTTCTTGTTCCAGCTCTAATACTGCAAATAAGGGTCTTCTTCACAGTCTATTTAGCACCACGCCTTCTGCATTTTTGCATTTTTTGTTGGTTATTCTGCTGTTTAAAATAGCCCCTTAGCACAGTGTTGAAGGGCTACCTAGTGTTCCTGCATGCAAGAAGGCTTTGATGTGCCTCATGGAGAAAATAAAGGAGTTAGATAAGCATCTTTCGGGCAGGATGTGGTTGTGAGCTCAACGTTAATGAATCAAGATATATTAAATAAGTAAGGTATCTTTCAACAGAAGCACACACAAAACAAGGTTACGTACCGACCAACTGACAAAAATGAATGTTGTGACCAGAGGTTTGCAGGAGCCTAAACCTTTCTTTCTTTCCCCTAGGAGCAATGGTTCAGTATTCACTAATTCAGCGTTCAAGGAGACTTTGTAGAAAAATGAAAATCAGCTGTACTGAGATTTCCAGTTAAAAGACCAATAGGGAGAATGTAGCATATTAAAATGTGGCTACATAATTACAGACCTCAAATCATAGACCAGCCAGTAAAATGGGCAGAATGTGAATTTACATTAGGCTGAAAAAAAGACTTTTATTTAACCCCGATTGTCTAATGCTAATTGTCTAATGTCTTTTAATTCTTTTTTTAATCCTTATGCAAAAAAGGATACAGGTTTTCTGTAGAAATTTTGAAAATATAAGTGGGAAAATAAAAAGGGTAAGATATTGTGGATAAGATCCCAGAACTTTTTTTTTTAAATGTTCATTTATTTACTTTGACAGAGAGCACGAGCAGAAGAGGGGCAGATAGAGATGGAGAGAGAGAATCCCAAGCAGGCTCCATGCTGTCAGAGCAGAGCCGGACATGGGGCTCAATCCCACCAATGGTGAGATCATGACCCAAGCCGAGTTTAAGAATCAGATGCTTAACCAACTGAGCCACCGAGGTGCCCCAAGTCCCAGAACTTTTCATCACAAGGAACATGAGAATGTACCCAGTGTCCTTATTTTGCTTTGGTTGACAAGGCAATGCAATAGGTATTTTCATGGGAATATTTCCTACGTGATGAAAACCACCTAGTTTCATGATTTTTATATGCCTTAAGTTTGTAAAAGTGAAGTTTTAGTAAAAATGCCATCATCATACATTTTAATAAACTTTTTCTTTAAGGAAAAAGAACAGTAAAATATGTTTTAAAATGGACTTTATGCTACCCTTGTAGCACATGCAGTCATTGGTAATAATCTACTGCAGTGAAAACTGAACCAAGCATATCATTTAAAAGAATGTCATACAAGATGTCTTAGAGAAGCCAGCTTACTATACTTTAATATCTGTTGTATACCTTTAAGTTTACCTTTCAAGTAACATCCTCAAAAATTTATACTGACTATGGAATAAACTTTAATTTGAAATTTCTTAAGATGCCCTTACTAATTTCCAAAAGTTGAACAACTCTCAATAGGAAATAAAATAGCAGCAGTTTTGCGGTAATTAGGTACAGAATTTTGATGCACAATAATGCTTACATGTGTCTCACTAAGTTGATCTTACAACGAAAAGTTAGCCTCAAGAGGCCATAAAACAAAAGGGTGCAAAATATCTTTCAGTTGCCAAAAACCAAATTATGTTTACCACAGATCTAGTTTATTTCCTTTTTAACTTCACATTTGAAAAAGGCAAATGAACTTTACAACCTATTATATAAATTATTCCTTAACAGAGAATCAAAATTTAAACTAGTCAAATATAACTCTTTTAATTGAAGATACTATTATTCAATTTTACCTAATCATTAATGCCTAGGGCTTTTATTTATTTCCCAAATCTTCCCATAATTCTTTTTTATTTTTTTAAACGTTCATTTATTTTTGAGAGAGAGAGAGAGAGACAGAGAGAAAGCGAGCACGCGCACGAGCACCAGAGGGGGAAGGGCAGAGAGAGAGGGAGACAGAATCTGAAGCAGGCTCCAGGCTCTGAGCTGTCAGCATGGAGCCCGATGCGGGGCTCAAACTCATAAACCGTGAGATTGTGGCCTGAGCCCAGGTTGGAAGCTTAACTGACTGAGCCACCCACAATTCTTTTTTATAACCTAAAGACCAACGTATACTTCCCTCTAACTCAGCGTAGGTAACAAAGCTTCTTTCTAATCCTGTGAGCCTCTGGGCCCTACTACTCAGAGCAGCTGGCATGTGAGGAAAGTGCCTTTTCTTTGAACCCCAAATGAACCTTTGACCACATAAGATTTGGTACGGAAAGATAATCCAGTAAGTAATATAATCATGGGAGCTGTAAAAAACAGAAGAGTCTCAGAGTGCACTGAAAAGGCTTTTATTTTATTTTTCAGTTGGGCAACCTCCCCCTATTCAGGACTCATCTTAATCGAACTGCCCCCTCCCCTCCAAAGCAACACGTGCCTCTTGGCTGGCACGTTCAACAACATGAGTCACTTCACAGCAGCCAGGCCAGCCCAGGGGGAGAAGCAACGAGGCATATTTAAAGTTTCCACCTAAACTCTGGAAAAGGTCTCACTTCACAGCAGGGAGGAAATAATTAATATTCAAAATGACCTTGGCAAAAACAAAAAACAACCAAACAAAAACCCTGCTGTGCAACATGAAGCAAAAGAACCTTAGTAACATGAGACTATCAGAAACAAATAGCACTGCCCTCTGGTAAAATGTATGTTAGGGGTTTCTCACAAGACTAGACAAGTATAGGATGAAAAGGGCTGAGTCAGATAGTAGTAGGTATTTTAACAGTGACATTTAGCGATACTGTTTCTGTTTTGGTTTTGGCTGCCTTAAAGTAAACACAAAATTGAAAAGCAAAAGGATGGGAAAAAAGAGTCATGAAAATACATTTTACTCCCCCTGGGTATGACTCATGAACCTGTCAGGAACAGTTCTAGCCACACGATTAAAGAGCAACATAGAGAATAAAAAGTGAATTCAGAAGGCAAGCAAATAAGTGATGCAGACAATAGGGATAGAAGGTAGTTCAACCTGGAGGAGGAAGAGTTTAGTAAACAGCCTTCACAACATGGCTCTTTGGAATCAATAGGAGAGGATTTGCTACTAAAAAATGAACTGGAAATCAGCATCTTCTATGACACATACATGTGTGATATGTATCACAGCAGCATTAGTAATCCTGAAAAAATTAGCTACAACCTGAGTTTCCAAGAGGATAGTGATTAAGTAAATTCTGTCAATCTAACAAAAATGATGAGTTACCAGCAGAGGGGATATGAAAAGTATCGTGGTATGAACATTCACCAATCAGAATGGGTACAGGGTGTGACACGAGGTGTTAGTAAGACTTGCATATTGGCAGCGGCAAGGGGATGTGTGCATTTGTAGAAGCCATAGAAGCATCTGGGGGCAGGCAATCACTTTTTACCAATTGGCACAGGAGGCTTTCAAATTCATTTTAACAACTGGTACAGCAGTGCCAGAACAGGCTGGCTACGAGCCATCCCTGGCTGTTGGCACGGCAGCAGCTGACCCCACCAAGTTCTTACTCCACGCCAGCCACTGCAAAGCATAACTTGCAACAGTTACCATTAGTAATGGTAATGGTCTATGATGACCATTGTTATCATCTTTCTTTTACAGATGACAAAACATTTAGGGAGACTAAATGACTTGTTCATTCTGCTTGCAAATAAATGATAGTGCTGAGATTCAATCCCAGGCCTATTTGCCAACAGAATCTGGCAACTTTACCCTGCACCATGCTGCTTCCCAAGACTACGTGGCCATACGAATAATATTAAAGGGGAAAATCAAGATAATAAACTGCAAATAAGATTATACCTTACGGTGAACTTTTTTCTTTTAAAATTTCCAAATGTCTTATAATACGGTTGTATTCCTTTTATAATGAAATGTAAATTGGTAAGAAAAACTGTATTATATGGAAAGATTTTATGACAGCAAGTTTTTTTAAACACTAGAAAGAGTTACAAATTTTTTAAATGTAGTTTTTCCTTTCCCAAACAGGATACTTTTCGTCTGTCTGAAATGTTTCAACCGCTGTTCTAAATGAATAAACAAAATCACCTATAAATTATAGCCCTTTCTAGCACTGGGATTCTACAATGTGTTGTCAATCTTTATCAAATAAAAAATAATATCAGCCTAAAAATTATAGAGAAGCCAAGACATGCATTCATTCAATTAGTATGTACTGCTTGCCTGCTATGAGTCAGCTGTTTGGCTGGTTGTTGGAGAACCGGGAGTTAGTCAAGAACCTTGCCTTTATGGAGCTTACAACAATTCCAGATGGCAATTCCTTCTTAGCAAATTTTTAAGCCAACATCACTGTGTGGAAGGGCAGAGAGCACTGGCTCCAGGCTTAGTAGCAGCAGTCAGTGATCATGCCTACTAGGGAGGGGAGGGTAGGTTGATCCATCTCAGAGCTTCAACATGGGTTCACTCCACGTTGAAGTGAATGCCAACAGTCAGATAAAGAACACTGAGAGAGTACAAAGCTCCCGGGAGCCCTACAGGTAGTTTTTATGTCATCTGCTGGGATGCCATATTCTTTAGGTCCCTTGGGGAAAAATGGGATAGGCACAAATGACTGAGAAGACAATCAGCAATTTCTGAGAGTTGGCTGGTCTTGAATCTCATAATTAAGGGAAAGAACCTACTATTTAACCAACCTGTATCTTTGAAAAGACAACTCTAAAACCTTGTGAATGTCACAGTATAGGTTATGACTCCTGAACACACACTGCCAGCCACCATCATTACCAATGTGAACACTATTAGGCACGTGGGTTAGGTCTGACCTGAGGACCTCCTCCTGATCTGGAAACAATCTGTTTAGGGCTTAAAATAGGTACCCATTTTTCTAAATGCTTGGTTATTTACTTTGAGAGAAAGAGAGAGGAAGAATCCCAAGCAGGCTCCATGCTATTGAGTGCAGTACCCGATGCAGGGCTCGATCCCATGAATCGTGAGATCATGACCCGAGCCGAAATCAAGAGTTGGATACTTAACCAACTGAGCCACCCAGGTGCCCCAGTATCCATTTTATTGTAAGATAAATCACATTCACTTAGGAGGTATAGTGAGGACTATAAAAAACCATTTCAGGGACATAAAAACCATTTTGTGCTATTGCAGGGATATAAAAAATCATAATAAATAGAAAGGTGGCTAAAGTCGATGCTACGTTCCCACAGATAAATACCCATTTAAATAAACAGACACATCCCTATGGACTCTTCCTTCATCTTCCTTTATTGTTTTGCCACTCAATTATGTCAGCCTAATCTCCTTGGAACTAGATCCCTTTTCATATTTCTTCAGGTTGTTAAGTAGGCACTCAGTGTGCTGAGTGTGACAGTCTGGTGAAAATTTAAGATGCCTAGAAGATCCTTTAAATCAGCTTTGAGACTCCATCAAGTCTATAAAAGTAGATATGCTACTCAGCCAATGCCCCAGCCACGTTATACATCTCACCTTCGATATAGCTTGGACTGTCCAAAAGTCATAATTACCAGTGGTACATGGAAGGTAGTCAAGACTAGAATGATCTGGGAAGAGACAAAAGCATGCAGTCAATAAGAAAGATAGTCTAATTACATGTCTGCATGTGATGGGATTAAATCAACATCTAAGAGGCTGCCAACAGCCCTGGTCTGTAGTAGCCTGTACTGTTAATATCAGAAAACCAAGACATACCAAGTTACTAGGGCTCACAATGATTCAAGATCTCAACTCATTTTGTTGAAATGGTCCCATCACATACACTTGTAACAGTGAGGCAAAAGTAATCAACTACACATTATAATAAAGGAAGGGTTTAACCACTTTGTATCTCTATTATTGTAAGATATTCTCAGGTAAAGATCCTCTCTCTTCCTGCTTACAGAGCCTAGAATAGTACAGGCGCTCTAATAGAAGTCACGGTGTCATATACATCTGTCCTTTCCTTCTTCTCCTTGCTGTTATTTCTCCATGAATTTTTTTAAATAACTATTTTTCTAGACAAAAATATGCATGGAGAAAAGATTCTGACAGATTAGCACAACAGGCTAAGGAGTCTCAGGTAGCCATGTAACAAGAAATCCTGGAGATGCCAACTCTCTTAGATAAATGGATAAATCATGGAAATTGGCATACAACCCAAATTTTAGAAGAAACTAAGACATGATTAAAGAGACAGTCTACCAGAAGTTTTAAAATTAATTAAAGTAAGTAATTTGTAGCTTGCTTTTTAACATCAAAATTATTTCTTTTGGTTCCTGATATAGCCATCACATGCCTAAATGCTACGATACATACATTACCAGAATCCCAGAGGGTATGAGCTGTGGTCCCTGACCTTGTTCAGACAGCAGGGCACAGAGCCAGGTAACATCAAGCCTAGATTCAAGACCTGAGGCCACCCTCAGCACACCCTCCTACTGGGAGACTGTCTATACTAGCAGGGATAAGGGGCTAAAGAACTCTCCTTTCACGCCCCTGATCCTGGCAGCGGCTTCTCTGTGGTGGGGAAGGGACAACAGAGGGAGCTGAGCAACCATGAGCCCATGGGCGCCACAGTCCTTCAACACTAACTGTGGGAAAGGACACAGGAACAATACAGTTTGGAGGAAAAATGCCAAGATGGGCAATGTGCAGTTTTCCGCTTCTACACAGGGGTTTTCCCAAGTATTGTGAGGCTCCCGTCTCAGCACATGGCACTCTCCTTTCTCTTTCTTCTTCTTGCTCATCTTGATGCCAAGCAGCCACCAGAGACTAAAATGGTGTCTATCTTCCTATTATGGAAGAAGGCGGTCACACGATGCTTCCAGTTCTAAAGCAAAACCAAACCAATCATTGTCCTGAAAGTCGGTACCGCAAACATGCATTTTCTGCAACTGAAGTTGGAGACTATTTCAGGAAGTAACAACATTCATTGCTTAAACTCCTAAAATCAACATCTTCTTGCTACGCTGAATTAACAGACTCAAAATACTACTTACCCCAGTGCCATCTCCAACCCAGGACAAGGATACTGAGACACTGAGATCATCAAACACATGCTACAAGGAAAAAGAAAATTCATTTAGAAATGACATCTGTCTTTTGATCTTTGACTTCCTTAAATAATTCAGAACACTATTACTTTCAAAGTAATTCAGTTCATAATTATAAGGGGATACGGATTCCCAGAACAAAATTTGGAAGAGACAGGACTGAACTACTTAACCCAAATTACAAACAACTTGGACATTTTAATTCTCTCTCATACAAAGTAAGCCAAGCAGATGAGTTTTCTTACTGCACCAGATGGGGAGATGGAATAATCTAATTGCTTTCTCCAACAGGACTAAATATAAAGATACAGAAAGTATTCTTAGGATGCTTTAAAACAAGAGATCACAGCCCACATTGACAGATATAATTGTAACCCAATCAGCATAATTTACATTTTTCAAGGCAGCCTTCACAGTACAGCTGAGCAGTTAATAGCTGGATTCCTTCGGCTCCTAGGTTAACTCACTGACCCAAAATGACAAGGAACAGAATCAAAGAGCCAATGCCCTACTTCACCTTTATTTAGTGATGATGATGATTATGATAGAAGAACAATCTTAACTGTCGTGGTAAGAGTGAGGAGAAAGAAAAGGGAAAGCTGGTGTGTTAATTCCAAGATATGGTAAGCATGTTGGACTATAGTTATAATCATCATCATAGATGCTTTAGGGTTTTGGTTTTCAAATACTTTCTTTATAAAATAATACATATCCGTTATAGAAAATGTAGGCAATAGTAGGGAGGTATGATAAGGAAAATATAAACCATTTGTAACCCTATCGTGCAGAGATATTCAAGGCTAACATTATTTGTATAATCTACTAGTTTCTATCATTTTTTAACTGAAAAAGAAAGAATTCCAAAAAGGCAACAATGGCACTTGGTAAAAATTTCCAACCATACACAAATATATACAGTTAATCCTTGAACAATGCGGGGGGGTGGGGGATGGTCAGGGGTGCTGACCCCCTGGTACAGTCAAAAATCTGCATATTACTTTTAACTCCCCCAAAACATAACTACTAATAGGCTACTGTTGACTGGAAGCCTCACCAATATCATAAACAGTAGATGCACACATATTTTGTATATGTATTATATGCTATATTCTTATAATAAAATAAGCTAGAGAAAATAAAACACTATAAAGGCAATCATAAGGAAGAGAAAAATACATATACAGTACTGTACTCATCAGAAAAAATCACGTGTAAGTGGATCCATGCAGTTCAAACCCATGTTGTTCACAGGGCAGATGTATAGTAAAAAGTGAAGATACTTCCTCTCCCTCTGCCACATGCCCCACCACCTCAAGCCCCACTCTCCGAGCAGTTAATTAGTCTAGTATTTAGTTCTACTAAATGGTGACAATTACATGCTTTCCTCTTACAAAGACATATATCTTATTAAGTTTTTTCATCTTAAGCATGCCCTGCCTTTCTGAGTATGAGCAGTTCCTTAGAAGCAGAGGCGATAACTTTATACTTGTTGGTATTCCTTATGCCTACCACGATACTTTACACACTCAATAAGCATTTGTTGAAAATGATTATACGTCCTTCCCAAACCACCAACTCAGTCTCAAAATAGAACATGTCTATAAATGGTGGGAGGCCAGCCGCTTGGTCACTCAAGCCGCTACCCCAACAGAGAGGTCTGAAGAGACAGGACTCAAAACACTAACTGTTTTGCTTATCTTCTAATTTTCTTTCGTGGTTCTCCTGAAAGGGCTTCTGAATTCACCTATGCTATTTCCCCTCTGGACTGTAAGTATCTTTGAAGTCAGCAGAAGCTCTTGTACAATCAGTGCCTCACAGAGGGCCTGACTAAATGCTGGTTAACTCTCACATGCTCAGGCAGAGCTTCTCACAGCCTCTGCAGAACAGAAAGGCCATTCATACATGTAAGCTGGCCAAGCATCTGAGAAAACATAGGGCTGCTAGAGACATCTGGAACCAGAAGCTTAAAAACTGACACAGAATGTGTCTTGTAAGATACTGCACACAGAGCAAGACAGCATGTTCTCTTGAGTGAGAATATAGTGTCTGAAATTACATCAATGAGCTCCTTGAGGAACAGGAATATCCAGAGCTACCACAGGCACCAGAAAGACGACATGGCCTCACAGTCATCTAAACATAGGCTATCTTTCCAAGGAAGGCTCTGGCCCCCACAACTGACTAGGATATACGAAAAATTCCACCACTGGAGTCCTGGCTATCTTGATCAGGCCACAGTATAGTTAGTCTTGAGCCAATCATGATCTACAACTCTCACTTTTCAGACAAAGCTCTACACACCTGACCTAGTCAATGCATTACTCACATGTTCCTGTTGCCCAGTCACAGAAGAAGGAGGATTATTAGCTATCACTAGCAACTCCCAGCTTCACCTGAACAACTCAAAGGATGGCTGACCTCATTTATCATCCAAAGAGTTCCTCTGGAAATACAGGCCAGGTTTATTAACTATAATTGTGGTCTTCTGCTACCCTTAACCTTCCCTCTCTTCCCTTCCCAATAACCAATTACATTTTACTTTTGAAAACACATACACTCATTGAAAAACACCCATCCATCCATGGCAGAAGCAACTAACTTTTTTGGGGGGAACAGGAATTATTTCTCATCCTGTATGAGGACCAGGTTCCAGTCTTTAACATTCTCATTCTAGTGAAAGTCAAAGACAAAAATGAAATCAGATCTAACAACAGATCAAACCTCAGGTGGAAAGAAAAGGTCATATGGAAAGAAGACAGATCCAGGAGCGTTGGGGGACCAAGAGCACAGATACAATCCTACTCCTGCAAAGAGAGAAGAATTATGGATGGCCAGGAAAGGGTGGGCAACCTGGTCATGGTTAGGAGACAGAATTCACAAGTGTTGGCAAAAGGCCATCAGTTCATATGGTTAATCATTTATCACACTTGGTACAATGTATATGTCACCCTATGTTGCAGTGGCATCTTAAAATGTTTCAAAATATGTGTTACTTTTAATTACAGCAACAAGAACCTTGTCTGCCTCCCTCACTAGACCTGAAGCCCATGTCGTGCAGGGACAAAACCTTCATTTTAGGAACTAATATACTACATAGCATATGGATGGCACTCAAAACATCCAATTCATTTTCTTTAAGAACTATTTGTGGGGACGTCTGGGTGGCTCAGTCAGTTAAGCGTCTGACTTCAGTTCAGGTCATGATCTCACAGTTTGTGAGTTCAAGTCCCGCATCGGGCTCTGTGCTGACAGCTCAGAGCCTGGAGCCTGTCTTCAGATTCTGTGTCTCCCTCTCTCTTGGCCCCTCCCCTGCTGGCGCGCTCTCTCTCTCTCTCACAAAAATAAATAAAAACATAAAAAAAAAAAAAAAAAGAACTACTCGTAAAGCTCTGAAAAGGCAGATGATGAAGTGAAAAGGCCAGACACACTTAATTTCTCTATGATGGAAGAATGCAGTAACTAAATGGATT